AGGCCATATGCCAGTTATCAGCTGCCTTCAGAGTCAGACATCAGTGAGGTAGAAGAACAGCTGGAACTTGTTCCCAGTGTGTGCATGTGCAGAGTTGCCAGACGAAGGGAACAGCTAAAGAACAGAGGTCGATTTAGGAGGAAGGCCACATGTGGATGATGAATGGCCCCTCCCAGAGGGAATAAAAGAGGAGCAAAAGGGGAATGGAGTTTGCAGGAGACTATTAGTATTAGTATTTAATAAATTTATAGGCCGCCCAATCCCGAAGGACTAGTTTGCTTAATTGGTTAGTGACTCTCCAAGATTCCTTGCCAAGTTCTACAGATCTCATCCTGGCAGCTCTCCAAGCCAAATAAGGCCTGTGACTGTAAATCCTCCCTTGAAAGACTTTGCTGGATGGGAAGGAGCAGAATTCACAGGAAATTAATAAAAGCGGTTTTTGTTGGAACAAGGAGTTGGCTTCATGCTCTCGGGAAGCCTCGGTCAGAACACTGAGATTGTGGCCACTCAGCTTGAAAGCTCTTCAGTGCTAGGAGTATGTCAAATTCTAGGAGTCCCAGCTCCTATGCAGTGAAGGAATCTACCTACTTCCCATCTTGGCTCACCTTCTTGGACCCCTGGCACATAATAACACAGCGTCCTTCGTCATCCTGTAACGGGCGATTAGCACGGCCCACCATCTGTAGGACATCATAGATTGGATAATCCACATACCTGGCACAAGGAGAATGATTCACTGTTGAGTAAATTAGTCAGTTAAGGACCTGGTTAACTGCTTGGGGGCAAATCTGCAGACTTAACCTGGGATTGTAATCTAGCTGGATTAAATGATGTTTTAATGTCTTTTTACATGACAGAGGTTAGCCGTAAACAGAGACAACAGCTGTGATTTCAACTAGTTAGTCCCGCTTACTTCCTCTGACCTTTTTGTGAATGGATTATATACCTTTAACTGCATTAAACATAAGGTGATTAGGAAAATATTAGAATGTGCAGAAATGAACAGATTAACACTGGCAATTAAGGAGAAAGAACAACCTGAATACTATATGATATGGGAATTATTTTATCAATGATTGGAGAATAAAAATGGAAGTTAGAAATAAAAGAAGGAGATTAAAGAAGAGTAGAAAATATGTTAAGATAGAAATATAAACAATATGATAATGGTTAGTATGATGATGAGGATTATTATGCTCTCCCTCCCCCACCTCTCTCCCCTCCCCAGCCCACCTCAAAGGGTGGTTGTTTTTGTTGTGTGGAAAAAACAGGAAGAGGGAGACTTGCGGGTTACCTTTGCTGCCTTGAGTTACTTATAAACATAAACTGAGTCTAAAAATTGGGAGGAGCTACCACAGGAGATGTGTTGTCACAGTTTGTAGACTCATCCTATTGGATACTGGACGGAGTTAACCCATGCATGGATGCTATCTCCACCAACTTTAGAGAATAAAGAAAACCACACCAAAAGGCAACCCAACCCAACACAACTCCCTCTTAATTCCCTCCATCGCGCCCCAAAACGCAACCCATTTAGTGGCGGTTCCAGACAACCCAACCCAGCACTCTTCACTCACGCGTGGATCTTCCCGTTGTAGTATTGCGTGTCCATGATGATCACCAGGTGGGCAGCTAAGTTCATCCCCCAACAGAGGCTCCGTGATGCCACCACTACCTGGATGGCCCCTAGGAACAAACCACAATAGTTTTATGAGAAAAACATTCAATACTTAATACTACGTGTAATTAACTGCAGCAAGAATCATAAATGCACAAAATTGGAAAAACAAAAATACACCAACAGAAGAAAATGTGATTTTAAAAAAGTATTAGAATGTGCTGAAATGGAGAGACTAAAATAAAAGACAAAAGAAAATCTAAGTATTAGTAAGTGTGGAATTTATGGTACAAATGGCTAGAGGAAAGAAGCAAAGAATAAGAAAGCATTAAAGGAAAAAAGATTAAGAAATCATAAAACTGCATAATTAATAAGAGGGGGAAATGTAAGATATATTGAATAGAAATAGCACAGAATAATAGTTATAAGAGGAATACGTACATAGAGAGATGTATTTTATAAAAACAAGTACATTGAAAGAGCAATATGTATAGAAGAAATATAAGTATAAATTATCATCTTAGTAGAAATTAATTAGGGCATCTTTCGGAAACCTGACCACCAGTTGGGACGGGGACCTGATTGGACCATGTGATGGACATGTGGGTTCAGGGGAAGGAACTTTGACTTTACTTTGGGTGGGGAAAACCTGGGGGCCTTTCAGGTTCAGGTTTCCCCAGATGTGCCAATCTCTTAATAAAATGGAACTTTGAGAAAAATATTTTAATAAGAAATGATTTTTTTTTAAAGAAAGAAAATTCTTGCCTCAGAGTTTTGCTTCTGGTGGGAGGCATTACTTGGAACCTTGACATTTACCTGAGCTGAACAGCTGCTCCACCACTCTTCGTTCCATGGAGGTCAGCCCCTCGTGCAGGTAGCCCACCCCGTTCACCACAGTCTCTTTCAAGGTGTTGTCGTTCAGCTTGTCCAGGTAGGGGGCCACGTCCTTCTCAGTGCAGTGCAGAAACCTGTCGAGGCGGGAAACAAGGCAAATCAGAAGGGCCAAGCAAGCCAGATCTTAGCCAGCTTGCCCTTCGCAAAGAGAGAGAGAGAGAGACAGACAGACAGACAGAGGCGGAGCCTAGGCCGTCTGTCAGCCCTTAGATGGAGAGTCAACAGCCCCCCAAGTCTGGAGGTGCTTGATGAGGAAGAGGAGGAACAGCTGGGTCCAGTGCCTGGTGCGCGTATGCAGAAAAGGCAGAGGAGAAGAGAGCAATGGAAATCCATGGGTTGGTCTTTGGGATGGAAGAGCCACCGTTGATAGCAAAGCTCCACCTTAGCTCTGAAGATAAAAGGCAGGGGGCTGGAGAGAGGAAAAGAGAGAGGGAGAAAGAGAGGGAGAAAGAGAGGGAGGGAGAAACAGAGAGGGAGGGAGGAAGAGAGGGAGGAAAAGACAGAAAGAGAGGGAAAGAGAGAAAGGGAGAGAAACCAAGAGCGAGACAGAGAGATGGGGCAGTTTCCTATGTGTGAAGGGCAAACTACCCTGCAAATTAAGTCTAAGAACAATAGCCTGGAGCAAAACAGCCTCTGAGATTATATCAATACAATCAATTGCTGATGCACTGGGACCTATTGAGAGAGGGAGAGAAGAAGAAAGGCAGGGAGGGAGAGAAGAGGGAAGGAGAGAGAAGAGAAATTAAAAGAAAGGGAAGGATGGAAAGAATGAAGAAGAGGAGGAGGAGGAGAGGTCAGACAGCATTTAAGATTTAGTCTCTCAGTCAGTGCAAAACAGGAAACAAATGGTGAGGAAAAAGAGAGAGGGAAAACCCAGAAAGAAAAAAGATGAATAGATATGGCAGACAACTATTCATCTCCCTGCCAGACGAACTTGTTAGCCTGCTGTGTGTTTGGGAGCCGGGTCAGAGCAGTCTACCTGTGTCTCTGGACATCTGAAGCGCAGGTGGTGAGGATGTCGATGGCCGTCAGCCGGGTCTGCTTGCGAGAGGGGACAAACACGATGACCGGCTTCTTGGGGGAATGTTTCATGATGGCGTGGTAGACAGGCTTAGCCATGGAGAGCAGGCGAGTCTGCGTGTGGCTGATGTTGAAACCCTGAAGAAAGCAAGGGAAAGAAACAAGAGACAGAAGACGAATAGTGTCAAATCTACTGGCCGGGCAGAACTTTCAAAGGAAGAACTGCAATTAAAAGCCCACTAACAGCATGGAAAACGAAGCTGAGTTTTTGATTAGCTCCAGGAAGGGACGGAAAAAGAATCTGTTTCACCTAAGAACACACATGGTGTCGTGCCCCCATCGGAGTCTAAATCTACAGAGGAAATGAGCCAGAACAGAGCTGCTGGAGATCGAGGGGGCAGCTTCATTGGCTTGGGAGGAAAATGGGGAGGAGCAGGTTCAGTAAGGCCAGGACCTTTCAGGATTGGGACAGCATGTAGGCAAGGAGGAAGGAGGACCAAGAGAGGCTAAGCAGTGAACACAAGAGACAGAGCTCAGGCGAGGAGCAAGGACCACCTCCTCCTGATCCAAGAAAACGGAGAGTGGAGAGAAGGCGAGAACAGTGCAGACTGAGATGGCCACTCAGGAGAAGAGTGTTCCTTCCCTCTTCACAAGGCACACCTGGGGAATGAGCCTTAAGAGACGCTGTGGGGAGAGACATTTGTAAGGAACAAACACTGAATTCCCAATTGAACCTTCCTGGATTCCTTGCATTCTTCCTAGATTTCCAAGTTACTTGCCATGCTCCCTTGCTTCCTAGATCCTTCAACTTGCCAGGCTGGATTTCTTGCTGTGCAACTGTCGTGTTCACAGAATTAGGCTGGACTATTTGCAGCCAGAGACTGCTTGGTGGGTGGTGTGTGTGTGTGTGTGTGTGTGTGTGTGTGTGTGTGTGTNAAAAAAAAGAATAAAAAGATACAACACTTAGTTATGGTCATAGGGTACAAATAACCAATCTGGAAACAATCTCAATATAAATCGTAAGGATATAAGCAACAAAGTTATAGTCCATTAATCATAAGTGGGAGGAGATGAGTGATAGGAACGCTGTTCCCTTCCCACCAAAGGTGGTTCCTATTTTTCTACTTGCATTTTTTACACCAAGCATCAAGAGGTTTACCACTTGATGCTTGGTGTAGTATTCATCTTGGTGTCAAATCTCTGCTTAACTGGGTGGTGAGAGACCTTCAAATTTCTAGGTTCTATCATATCTCAAGACCTAAAATGGACCCCTAACATCAAAAATGTCATCAAAAAAGCACAACAAAGAATGTTCTTTCTGCCCCAACTCAGGAAGCTCAAACTGTGCAAGGAGTTGGTGATTCAGTTCTACAGAGGAATGATTGAGTCTGTCATCTGCACCTCTGTAGCTGTCGGGTATGGCTCTGCAACCCAACAAGACAGACACAAGAATTCAACCGATATTTAAAACTGCAGAAAAAACAATGGCTACCAACTTGCCTTCCATTGAGGACCTGTACACTGCACAAGTCAAAAAGAGAGCTGTGAAAATATTTACAGATCCCTCACATCCTGGACATAGTTTCAACTCCTACCCTCAAAACGATGCTATAGAGCACCGCACACCAGAATAACTAGACACAAGGACAGTTTTTCCCCGAACGCCATCACTCTGCTAAACAAATAATTCCCTCACCACTGTCAAACTATTTACTAAATCTGCACTACTATTAATCTTCTAATAATTCCTATCACCCATCTCCTCCTATTTATGACTGTATGAATATAACTTTGTTGCTTGTATCTTTATATTGATTGTTTTCTTAGCATGATTTGATTGCTTATTGGTACCCTATGACTATCATTAAGGGTTATAACTTATGATTCTTGATGAATGTATTTTATTCTCCTTATGTACACTGAGAGCATCTGCACCAAGACAAATTCCTTGTGTATACAATCACACTAGGCCAATAAAGAATTCTATTCTATTTTTTAGCTTTTGGATTGTTTGATGAGCAACATCTACCTACATCTTTTGTAGGTAGATGTTGCTTATCTCTATGCGTCTGTTGATGTCACGTTGTGTAACTGTTACTAAACTCCGCCGTAACCATTTATTTATATATTAAAACTGTATTCTGCTGTACTTTATTCATGCAGAATGGTTTACAAAATGGCACACAAGTGCACCACCTCCCCATGTTATTCCACATCTTTAAGGTCAGAAGTCTGCCAACGTCGGAGTATTTCTGAATGAACCGGATAGGGGCACCTCATCCTCACCTTGGCATTCTGGACGTTCCCCAGCACAATCTCTGCATTTAGCATATCAGGGAGCCTGGCCACCATCTGGCTCTCGATGGGAAGCTGCTGGTTGAGAAGAGAGAGGTAGTACTGCAGCTCGCCATGGGACGTGATCAGGATGCCCTCGCCCTTTGTGTCATACTGAGGTCTTCCGGCACGACCCAACATCTAAACAAAACACATCACATGTCTTGAGATACAAGGTATAGGTGTCATGCCCCCGTTGGAGCCTGAATCTGTGGGGGAATATGAACAGAACTGGAGCAGACAGAGATCAAAGGGGCGACTTCGGAGGAAAATGGGGAAAGGCAGAGCCGGACAGGGTCATTTAGAATTAGGGTAGCTTGTACACAGGATTAGAGAGGAAGAGGGGCAGGATGAACACGAGACAGAGCTCAGGAGAGGAACAAGGACCGCCCCCTCCTAATCCAAGAGCATGGAGAGTAGAGAGAAGGTGAGAACAGAGCAGACTGAGCAGGCTACTCGGGAGGAGAGCACCCCGCCCATCTTCACAAGGCACACTTGGGGGGAGAGATTTTAAGAACATGTTGTGGGGAGGGCCATTTGTCGGGAACAAATGCTGAGTTTTTGAATGTTGAGGGCTGACATTTGAACCTTCTAAGAGTCCTTGCATTCTTTCTGCCTTTCTGACCTAATTACCTAGATCCTTTGCTTCCTGAACTCTCTGATTTGCCCTGCTGGATTTATTGCTGTGCAGCCTTAGGGTACACAGCACAGGGCTGGACTAACTGCAGCCAGAGCCCGCTTGAGGAATGTGTGGGGGTTTGTCCTCACTTTGGTCTGGGACTGGCCAGAAACGTGGGAGCGTTCAGGGAAATTTGGAGTAATAAAGGGGTGGTCTGAATTGCCAGCTGTATGCATTATCTCTGTGCCGTGTCCCAGGGCATCACAACAGGGCTTCAAGCATGCCAGATAAATTTCTTGTGGTGAGAAAGAAGGATGGTCTCAACTGGGGAGGGGGATTCTACCTGCAAGATGTCCAGGGCACCCAGCTCAGTCCAGCGCCCTTTCTCAGGACTGTAAATCTGTGTCCCTTTGATGATGACCGTGTGAGCAGGGAGGTTGACACCCCAAGCCAAGGTTGCTGTGGAGACCAGAACCTGTAAAGAGAAGAGATGGCCAAGAGATGAAAAAGATTACCATATTTTTGGACTATAAGACGCACCATGATTTTGAAGAGGTAAATTTTAAAAAAAAGTTTTTGCACTCTGTAGGCCTCCCAAACTCTCTGCATGCCTCATTTGTTGCAAAAGGGAGGGGGGGGCATGCAGAGGCTTTGGGAGATTTGTAGAGGGAGAGTAGGCGGGGCTTGGCAGCGTGAAGACGGACTTTCAGGCTGTTCCTGAATGTCCATCTAAATCGGATCATCTGGACCGTTCTTCTTGGACCTAAGCTGTCCCGAAGAGACAGTGAAAGGTAGGGGGAGATCCAGTGGTCCCAGAGACACCCGCAAAGTCTCTGGTGACCCGGGAAAAGCCCCCTTTACCAGCGATCCCGAATCAGCCAAAGGCTACTGAAGCTGCTGACAGCCCTAAATACAAGCGCTGGAGAGAAGCATGTCGTGTTGGTGAGAGTTTTTAAACCTTTTTTCTATGGCAAAGAGAACACCCTAAATTTGGAAATCCAATTTAAAATAAGGCTGACTAGTGAGGAAAGTGGCGAATATAGGTTTGCCAATTGAAGGTCTTTTTTTCGTTTCCCTTTTTATCTCTGGAAGCCGGGTTGGACTTTTTTTTGGTAATGTGGATTGGCTTTCTGTGTTTTTCTTTTTCTCTCTGATACTCTTAATTTTGGACCTTGTGGGGACATTGAATTTAAACCTAAAATGTTTTGAAAATTTTGAAAATTCTTTTTTCTTAGCCCGCTCTTTGGTAATCTCTGCTATTTTCTAAGAAAAAGTTTTAACGGAAGTTTTAAGTATCGAGAGCTGATACAAGCTAACGCAAGCTAACACTGCCATCTAGTGGACTTGAAACATTGTTACCAGAGGCTTCCCTTGTAAACCATTTGATTGATTAAAACTGAAAGAGCAAGCTTTGTTTACTCAGCTGGATTCTTTTAGTATCTGGAAACCTACTTTTAGACTAAATAATAAGCAGCAAGGGAAGCTAAGAATGATCTTGGAAAGACTTTTATCTTAGATGGAAAAAAGAAGACTGAATCTATTTGTTCTAGCTTGGTGGCAGTTTTTATACTACTATTATATTATCTTGCTGGGGAGATACTTTTTTTATTCCCCTTGACTTTTTGACTCCCCCCTCCCTTTTTTGTGGCTTGAAGTATCTTTGTTTTTTGCTTTTTATTTTATTTTTTATTTTTGCACTTTTTTCCTTTTGAAGATATTTGGACATCAATGGATGTCTTGCTTTAAACTTTGAGCAAATTGGACAGAAGAGTTTTTTTCTTTTCCTCTCCCTCTTTCTTCTCTTTTTTACTTCTTTACCTTTCTTCTTAAGTGAGATTCTCACTCCTTCCTCCCCCCTCTTTTTCTTTCGCCCTTCTCTTATTTTATTTATAATCCTCTCATCTTTATAAATTGTTGTCTAAACCTTTGTGATATTAACTGCACTAGAATATAAAGGGGAAAAAAACTTAGAATATGAGTAGAAAAGTAACTCCTGTTGGTTCTACAGTGACAACCCCTGCCTCCTCACCTGCGGGAGGTCAGAGATCAATACAGTCAATGCTGCAGCAAGAAAAGGAGAAAGGAGTAAACTTAGTGGCAATCATGCAAGCGATACAGAAATTGCAAGCAGGAGTAGATAGCAAGGATGAAAAGCTAGATACCATTGTAAAGAAGTCTGAGAATATAGAAAAAAGAAGAGAGACAATAGAACAACAAAATCAAAGCATAGTACAAAAAGTTGACAAAATGGAAGGAAAAATGGAAAATATGCACAACTGGATGATGAAATATGANAGCAAATCAAATCATCATAAAAGCAAATAAGTCATGTGATGATTTCTTTTCTTTTATAAAGAGAATGTTCTTAATTTTGGACTCCAGGCTTGCGAAAGACCGCAGCAATCAAACAATCATATTAGAACATATTGCTTATTCATCTGAATCTCCCATTCAGCCTTCTAAGAACTTGACATGGTTAGAGTATGGTTAGAGTAAAAACAGGCACGCACTGTAAAAATTAAACAAATCCAGACTTTCCTGGACTTGGAAGAACTTACCTTGGCACTTGGTTCCTCAATGCTCTCTTTCACTGGAATCGGGACCCTCTCAAGCAGCTTTTGAAGTTCCAGTTTCTCTTCCTGCAAAGATGAGGAGGAAAAAATGAATCACCTCTGCTATGCAAGAGCGGATAGACCGCGAACAAGCAAAAGAGATTGTAATTTTTATTAGGATTCCATCAACTGGACTCATTGCATAAAAATAAAGAATGTTGAGTTCAGAATTCAGTTCTGAGGACCAGAATGGAACTTTTTTGATCCACGTCAGGTTTCTTCATTTCAGCAGTAGTATTTGGCTGCAATTTGCGAATCAGTTGGCTAAGGTGATGGGCGAGTTACTGCAAATCATCCATAAATCTACCCGCATTAAGTCAATCGATTTCCAAAGCTAAAAAGGCAGTAACAAAGGGCTACACTGGAAAGCAAACAATTGTGGCTAGGTTCTATTTTTAAAAAATGAAAGGACTGTGAGCTTCTGTGAAAAGTGAGGGATAGCTAACATGCCAGATATTTAGAAATGAGCACCTTTATTTTTATGAAGTTGAGCTGAGCAACAATAGAATTACCTCTACTGCTAATATTCAAAAAATGATTTTAATCCCTGAAAGATGAAAAACAAGCAGAGAAACTGAGATACTAATTATTGTGGCTGCCAGCAGCCAGCAGAGTTGGCAGCAGATTCGGACAATGGGGAGGTTGGGGAGGAACCTGGGCCAGTCCTGGAGGCTGGGGAAGGCTCTGATGAGGGCTCTGTGTCGGAGGCAGAGAGGGGGCCAGGGCCGGATGCCTTCAGAGCCAGACACTAGTGAGGAACAGCTGGAGCCTGTTCCCAGTGTGCACATGCGCAGCCAAAGAGAACAGCTAAACAACAGGTGTCGGCTTGGGAGTAAGGCCATAGATGGACGATGAATGGCCCCTCCCAGAGGAAATAAAAGAGGAGAGAAAAGAGAGTAGAGTTTGCAGGAGACAATTAGTTCTCTTAATTGGTTCCTGACTCTCCGAGACTCCTTGTCAAGTTTTGCAGACTCGGCCTGGCAGCTCTCCAAGCCAGAGAAGGTCTCTGACTGTAAATCCTCCCTTGAAAGACTTTGCTGGAGCAGAATTCACAGCAAATTATTAAAAGGGTTTTTTGTTGGGACAAGGAGTTGGCTTCAGGCTCTCGGAAAGCCTCGGTCAGAACACTAATATTCCCCCCCTTTCACTGATAAAAGCAAGGATCTGGAGAAAGCTTTTAAGCGATGCAAAAAAAAACAACCTGCAGGCGTTGTCAATTTTGATTGTCCCGATGTTAGTCAAATGATGAAGATACCAGATGGACAGGAAGGAAATGCGTCTCCAACTTTCCTACCTCTCTCACGGTGATGTTCTTGAACTCGGAGGACAGGGAGAAGACGCGGAAGAGTTCAATCTCACTCAAGGTGGGCTTGAGCAACTGATTGTAGGTTTGTATGGTCTCGTTGGTGATGTAATAGTGGCTGGCGATGCGGCCCAGCTCAGTCACCTGCGGAGGGAGAAGAAAGATTGGGGAAAGATCAGCTAACATGGGCAGAAGGAAGAATCAACTGTAGGCAGAGCTACTATGTGTTGTATGGTGGTTGTTCTAAAGCCACTTAAGTTAGTGGTAATCAGACAAAGGGGTTTATGGCTTCGCAACCCAACAAGGCAGACACGGCTTCAGAAGATAACTAGAACTGCAGAAAAAACAATGGCTACCAACCTGCCTTCCATTGGGGACCTGTAACACGGCACGAGTCAAAAAGAGGGCTGGGAAAATGTCTACAGACCCCTCACATAAATTGTTTCAACTTCAACCCTCAAAATGATACTTAAGCCACTCAAGATCAAACCCCTTGCTGTGGGTAGAGACAGCCTGCAATACTGCCTTCTAACCACTATGTCATCAGAGCTCTTCACCAATCACCAACACAAGGGATTATTTATGGCCAGACCATTAACAGACGCTGATGGAATTTGCTCTGGCAAAGTAATCTGAACATCTCTGTACTGACCTGGAAATTCCCCGTCTTCTTATCGTATTTGACTAAATTGTTTTTGTCCAGCATCAGGGCTGCTGTGTGCACCAAGTCCAGTCGGCGTTGGTCCAGCAACGGGTCTCCTTTCATGTCGTCATGGGAGATGCCGTAGAGATTTGGCGATCTCAGCATCCGGATGTAGAGATAAGTGTAGCCAAGCCAGTTCACTGCATCCTGCAACAGCACAAATAGGAAGCAAAGGTAAAGGTTCCCCTTGCAAGTATGTACTAGTCGTTCCTGACTCTAGCGGGTGGTGCTCATCTCCGTTTCAAAGCCGAAGAGCCAGCGCTGTCCGAAGACATCTCCATGGTCATGTGGCCGGCATGACTCAATGCCAAAGGTGCATGGAACGTTGTTCCCTTACCACCAAAGGTGGTTCCTATTTTTCTACTTGCATTTTTTGCCTGCTTTCGAACTGCTAGGTTGGCAGAAGCTGGGACAAGTAATGGGAGAGAACAGAATAGAATAAAATAGAATTCTTTATTGGCCAAGTGTTATTGGCCAAGGAATTTGTCTTTGGTGCATATGCTCTCAGTGTATACAAGAGAATAAAATACATCAAGAATAAAAAGATCCTGTATATTACTGGGTGACTGGAATGGTGTCATGGATACCAAGAAAGACAAGAAGGCTCTCCGCCAAAATACCCAAANATTCAAGAAGGAGAGAAGAAAGCTGAGAAGTTAGACAGTAGACTCAGCGACGTGGAAAGGGAGATCAGTAGAATATTAAGATGGGAGATGGATAGGTCTGAATTTTTCTTAAGATTTCAAAATATAGAAGAAGAAAGAGGAGAGAATCTAGCACAGATAATATCTTGAGATATTGACAAATGTAGTGGAGATATCCCAAGAGAAGATGATGGATGGCATAGATGAAGCGTTCTGAGTACATACAAGATATGCAATGAGAAATGCTCTTCCACGGGAGATTTGTAGAGTGCTCCTGGGGGGGCAAAAACGGACCATTTTTTCACTTGTTTTTGCCATCTCCATCCCCCCAGGAGCACTTTGCAAGCCTCCCAAACCCTCTGCACGTCCATTTTTGCCAAGGGGGCGGGGTTTCAGTTGGCCAAAAATGCTGTATTCAGTGTATGACTGGCTGGCTGGGGAATTCTGGGAGTTGGAGTCCACCAGGCTTAAAGTTGCCAAGGTTGGAGACCCCTGTTTTAGGAAATACAACAACAGGGAATTTGTTATTCCAGGAAGTGGAATGGCGTACCTGAATGTGTTTATCTGCAAACAAATCTTCCACCAACGTTCGATCCACTCTAGTCATGCCTGCGTGGTGAATGGCAAATCCATAGGGGAGCAGGTCTTTAAGTTCCAAATTCTGTGTACGGGAGGAAACAGCAATGTTTGTTAGAAGGCAAAGAAAAAATTCTCCCCAATTCATTGCCAACGGTAGCAGCATTTGGAAAAAGCCAAGAAGATTTGCTAGGTGCCCACCCACCACCCGTTCAAGGACTCATGATGGCTTGTTTTGCGTGCCAGTCCAAGGGATCGGCTGACTTTGGATACTAAGAAATAAGTACAATTTTCTGTTGAAAGTCTAAAAAAAGAGCAGAAGTTGCATCTTTTAGAAACATTAGCTCTATCTCCTTGTCCTTGACCTTTTGTAATACAGGTAGTCCTCGACTTACGACCATAAGGGAGCCCAGGATTTCTATTGCTGAAGACAGTTGTTAAGTGAGTTTTGCCCCATTTTACAAGCTTCTTGCCACAGTGGTTAAGTAAATCACTGCGATTGTTAAGTTAGTGACCTGGTTGTTAAGTAAATCCTGCCTGTAACTTTGTTGCTTGTATGCTTACAATTTATATTGATATTGTTTCCTGATTGCTTATTTGTACCCTACGACTATCATTAAATGTTGTAGCTTATGATTTTTGACGAATATATCTTGTCTTTTTAAGTACACAGAGAGCATCTGCATGAAAGACAAATTCCTTGTGTGTCCAATCACATTTGGCCAATAAAGAATTCTATTCTGTTCTGTTTTGTTTTGTTCTGTTCAGTTCCGTTCTATTCTATTCTAATCCTATTCTAATCTAATCTAATTCTAGTCTATAGAATATATCGTGTCTTTTTATGTACACTGAGAGCATATACACCAAAGACAAATTCCTTGTGTGTCCAATCACATTTGGCCAATAAAGAATTCTACTCTATTCTATTCCATTCCATTCCATTCTTCCTCACTGAAGAGCAGTTCCAAGGTCACATTGGAATGCAGGACCAACCAATCCATAAAGACAGGGACAATTTATATTTAGATAACACCTAATCACAGATAATGCATTTAGTCAAATGTGCTTTTGGCAAACCTATGGCCTGGAAAGTCTTTCTTTTCTAACTGATCAAACCAGGGGACACGTGTAATTTGCCTTCGTTTGGACTTATTACTTTACTTGGGTGTTTTGTCCAAAGCCTCTTTTTTTCCCCCCAATCGGCATGAAAAAGTGTTGGAAAATAAGCACCTTGCACTGCTCAGCTTCTGTCCTCAGGACCTCCGTGGAAGCAGAGCCCTCTCGCAGGAAGAGGCCCAGCGTGTCTTTCTCCAGGCACATATCTCGGATGGCTCGCGCTGTCTTCCCCGTCTCCTTTCGGGAGTGGACGAACACAAGCACCTGGTTTCAAAACATCAGAAACAAAACTGTTAAAATCGGAGTTGGCCATAGCAGCACTGAGTTTCCGTGAAGAACCCTAGAGAGAGGGATGAAGACGAACGAGGCACCGAGAACGAGTAAAAGAGAAAATCTGCACCAAAGAATCAGAGGTGTTTCTCACAATGTGTCCATCTGGTTTTGCAATCCCTTTGTTATTTTTTTAACATTTTTTTATTAGATTACAGAATAAAATACAAAGATAAAAAACAAAAAACATGAAAGCGAATAATAGGCCACTGTGGGGAGGGGAAGGGGAAAGTGAGGAGGGAAGGAAGAAAGAAAGAAAAAAACACTTCTGACTTCTGTTGCAGTAGAATGAAGCATTAACATCAAACCTCAATTTTTTACTTTTCCAAATATAAACTAGCCATTTCTATAGCAACAAATCGATCTGATCAGTAAAGCTCCAAATCAAAGTTTCATTTTTTCCAACCTCGAGCAAAGTCCAGAAACGGTTTCCATGCAGCAACAAAAGTATTTACTGTATTTTTCGGAGTATTAAGAAGCACCTTTTTCCCTCAAAAAAGAGGCTAAAAATCTGGGTGCGTCTTATACACTGAATACACATTTTCTTTGCCTCCAGAAACCCCACCCCTTCACCAAAATGGCCGTGCAGAGCCTTTAGGAGGCTTTCAGAGTGCTCCTGGAGGCTGGGGAGGGCAGAAAAACGGCCCATTTTTTGCTCAATTCTGCCCCCACCCCACCCCCAGGAGCACTCTATAAGCCTCCTAAAGGCTATTCATACCTTTTTTTTAAAAAAAAAGAAATAGGCCCATTTTTGCAAAAATCGAGCCATTTTTTGGAGGTGCAGAATGCAAAAACTTTTTTAATTTGCCTCTTCAAAATCTTGGTACGTCTTATACTCCGAAAAATACAGTATATTATTTTCTTCGATCAAAATGGTCAATTTACCTTCATTATCAACAAGATTAAATCCACGTGAAAACGAAAGAAAGTCGAACCCATCCTACCTGGTTCTTCCCAGCATGCTCCATGATCTTCTCATAGACAATTTCATTCATAATCTGAAAGCGCTTGATGGCTTTTTTCTCTGTAATTCCCACGTAAGTCTGCTCCAGGGGAACCGGGCGAAAGCTATAAGGAGATGGGCAGAATTACGAGAGCTCAAGATGACAACAGTTGGCCTTGAAAATCGTAAATCAGAGGTGTAAATATCTGTTTATATCCAAGATGTACTTTGACAGAAACAGGGCAACCAATATTATATTTTTCTACCTTTATCTCAGGAATTACTGTCTTCTACATCATAAAAAAGTCACTGGTGGTTAAGGCACCAGGTGAGAAACCAGAAGATGGTAAGTTCTAGTCCCGCCTTAGCCATGGAAACCAGTTAGGTGACTTTGGGCCTTAGGTCCCTCACTCTCAGCCCAAACCACCTCACGGGGTAGTGGTTGTGGGGTAAATAAGGGGAGGAAAGTGTGTTGAATATGTTCACAGCCTTGAGTCATTTGCAAAACTAATAAAGGGGGGATATAGATAGATAGATAGATAGATAGATGGATGGATGGATGGATGGATGGATGGATGGATGGATGAGGGGTAGATAGATATTTTCTTAAAAGTTTAAGTCTTCACATTAAATGACAGCGTTTAGTTGCTGTTCCCCTCCAAGTGGCAGCCTCTATTGGCCTCTATTATTGATTGCATAGTTTTTGTGTGCCAGGCTACGCAGAATCATCTGAAATTGGGCAGTTTAGGGTTCTGCTAGACACACAGATGTCACACATTGCATGTTCAGTACATGCAGTGACATGACTGCCACCTTCCATCAAATACCTGTTGTCAAAGTAGAACAGTCCTTTGGTGGGTTCCACCCTCAGGAAGGTAGCCACATCCTCGTAGTTCGGAAGGGTGGCACTCAGTCCAACCAGCCGTACGTCCTCCTGGGTCATCTCGATGTTGCGGATAGTTCTGGCCACCAAGGCTTCCAGAACTGGCCCCCGGTCGTCATGGAGAAGGTGAATTTCATCCTGCCCATAGGAGAAAGGGTGACTTCCATGCATAGCAAACCAAGGGAAGTACAGGTGCCAAGAGCCATAGTGGTGGCACTGTGGTTAGAGGGTGGTATTGCAGACTAACTCTGCCCACAGCCAGCAGTTTGATCCTGACCGGCTCAAGGTTGACTCAGCCTTCCATCCTTCCAAGGTGGGTCAAATGAGGACCCAGATTGTTGTGGGCAAGAGGCTGACTCTGTACATTGCTCAGAGAGGGCTTTAAAAACACTGTGAAGCAATATATATCTGAGGTATTCTTTCTCTTCCCTTCCCTCTCTCCCTCCTTCCTTCCCTCCCTCCCAGTGGTTAAAATGCATTGCAGGCTAATTCTGCCCAAGGGCAGCAGTTTGATCCTTCTTCCAAGGTTGGTCAGAGGAACCAGATTGTTGGGGTTAACATGCTGACCTTGTAAACCGCTTACATAGGGCTGTAAAACCCTCTGAAGCCGTATATAAGTCTAAGTGCTATTACTACCTTCCTTCCTTCCCTCCCTCCCTCTCAGTAGTTAAAATGCAGTAATGCAGGCTAACTCTGCCCACAACCAGGAGTTCAATCCTCCTTCCATCCTTCCAAGGTGGATCAATTGAGAACCCAGGTGGTTGGGGACAAGAAGGTGACCTTGTAAATTGCTTAGAGAGGGCTGGAAGACACTGTGAAGCGGTATATAACTCTAAGGGCTACTGCTATTCCAATGGACCACATTGCCACAGGTGAAGGATGCCTGAATCCCATCTGGTCCCAACAAGAAGTTTCAGAGAGTCAACTCACCAAGATAATGAGGCGCACTAACTGGGTATAGGTGCGCTCCCCTCCTTTGCGAGTGATGATGTCCCATTTCTCTGGGGTGCAGACGATGATCTGAGTAGCATTGATTTCTTCTTTGCACAACTGGTGGTCACCAGTCAGCTCCGCCACCGTAATCCCATAAGTGGCCAAGCGCTACAAGGAGGAAGGGAACGGGCACTCAATAATGAATGACCCACAATTTTTGAAACATGCCATGTTCATTTCAAAATCAGATTAAAGCTGAACCACCCAGAGACCACAATAACGTTTACCTCCTCAGTCTGCTCCTGCAGCTATTTTGGCTTTAGCTACCGTATTTTTCGGAGTATAAGATGCACCTCGCTTTTGGGGAGGAAAACAAGGGAGGGGGAGGAATCTGCCTTTGCCTTCCAGCAATTTGCCTCCTTGCAACAAACAGCAAACAGTAGAGACGATATACACTGTTGTAGTGTTACACTTTGGGCTATACTTGTACAATGCGGCTGAAATTGATGTGGCAGTATATGTTATTCTCTGCTATTTAAAAGAAGGTACAATAGCACTGGGCCTCTTCAGATCAAGCATTTATTTTAAAAAGCTTATTTTTTTTACGTTCTAGAACAATAATAAAGCAGTCTTTAAAAAATAAGTCTAATAATTTGAACATTCTACAGGCATTTATAGTTATTGACTTACCTCCTTGCAGTAAACAGCCTGATTAGCACAAGGGGAAAAAAATCTGCCTCTGCCTCCCAGCAATTTGACTCCTGCAGCCAACAGCTAGTTTCACTTTCAATTTCAGCAGGGGCCTCCCGATCATCAGCTGTTTCAGGCTGCAGTGATTCTATAGCCCATTGCAGCCCCCACAAGCCCAATTTTCCCTTTTTGCTGCAAGATGATAAATTGCCAGAAGGCCAAAGAGTGGATGGGGCTACATTCAATGTATAAGACGCCCCCAAATTTTCACCGTTTGGGGGGGGGGGCGGAAGGTGTGTCTTATAATCCGAAAAATACAGTAAGTGATGAACGAGGGATTTTGAGTGTTGACTTTTATGCTTTTATACTGGCTTTGAAGCATTTTTGGGGACATTTTAGACCATCTTAAGCCCATTAGGATTTGGGCAAACCATCAATATCATAAAATAATGAGTGCAGTGGCCTAGAGGGGGAGCTCACGCCTCACAATCAGGAGGCTATGAGTTCGATCCTAGGTAGAGGCAGACATTTCTCCCTCTGGGCATGTTGAGAATGTATCTGCTGAATATAACTCTGCATTGGCGACAGGAAGGGCATCCAGCCAGTAAACATTCAGCTCCATTCATCTGCCCCCACTCCACCCCGCAAGGGATTACGGGGTCATTAAACGATAAACATTGATATCATAAAATAATGAAGTAAATATAAAATATAGCTGGTCCTCGCTTTAGCAACCACTGCTTCAGCAAATAAATGTGCAGCAATATGTCAGGCCTGCAGCAATCTTTTCTTATGGATCTCAGGCCTGCCGCACTTTCTATTATTCTACTGTGCATTTTCTATTGTGGGAAAATGGGAGAGGGAATTGTACAGAGTTAGATGATATGTAGCCATAACAACATTCTTTGTAGAAAGGCAAGGTCATCCTTTGTCTTTGTACCTCTGCACCTGACCAGAACAGGTTGGGTGGAACTGCCAGCATGGCAGTGAGAGATTGGACCATGTGATGGACTTGTGGGTCTGGGGGCAAGGTCTTGAACTTTCAACTGGGTGGGGAAAACCGGGAAGCTTTCAGATTCGGGTTTTCCCAGATGTGCCAACATGGCTCTCTTCATCAATTGGAACTTTGAGCAATCCTTCCCCTTGGACTTTGATTTACTTTTGGATGCCATTTGGAACCCTGACACAATGATGGGCAATTGGTACCAGCTCTCGTACT